AAAAGGCGGACACAATGACCAACAAGAACGGAGACAAGAAGAGAGACGAGAAGGGAGGCAAAAGGAAACAGAAGGGAGACAAGACGGACACAGTAGAAACAGAAGGGCGACAAAAGCAAACAAAAGGGAGACGAGGCGGACACAGTGACCAACAAGAAGGGAGACAAAAAGAAGCAAAAGGGAGACAAGGTGGACACAGTGACCCAGAGACGCGACCGGGGACAAAGGGAGACAAGAAGGAAGACAAGGCGGACGAAGGGAGACAACAAGGGAGACAAGAAAGGAGACAAAAGGAAACAGAAGGAAGACAAGACGGACACAGTGACGAACAAGAAGGGAGACAAGAACGGAGACAAAGGGAAACAGAAGGGAGACAAGACGGACACAATGACCAACAAGAAGGGAAACGAGAAGGGCGACAAAAGGAAACAAAAGGGAGACAAGGCGGACACAGTGACCCACAAGAAGGGAGACAAGACCAGAGACAAGGGAGACAGATGGGAGACAAGGCGGACACAGTGACCAACAAGAAGGGAGACAAAGGGAGACAAGACGGACGGAAGGCGGACACGCAAGGCGGACACTCTTAGAAAGCCTTGAGAACCCCTAACAGTAACCTGTTTGGCAAAGTACAGGAATAGAAAATGCTGCATGGCCTAGCATGGCCAGCGGAAAAGGGCGGACACCTGACAGACCTGGGAGACAAATGAATAGAAATGTTGCATGGCCAACGGAAAAGGGCGGACACCAGCAGCGACAGACCTGGGAGACAAATGCATAGAAATGCTGCATGGCCAACGGAAAAGGGCGGACACCAGTAGTGACAGACCTGGGAGACAAATGAATAGAAATGCTACATGGCCGACGGAAAAGGGCGGACACCAGTTACAGACCTGGAAGACAAATGAATAGAAATGCTACATGGCCAGCGGAAAAGGGCGGAGACCACCAGTAACAGACCTGGGAGACAAATGAATAGAAATGTTGCATCACCAGCGAAAAAGGGCGGACACCAGCAGTGACAGACCTGGGAGACAAATGAATAGAAATGCTACATGGCCAACGGAAAAGGGCGGACACCAGCAGCGACAGACCAGCGAGACAAATGAATGGAATGCGAAAAAGGGCGGACACCAACAGTGACAGACCTGGGAGACAAATGAATAGAAATGCTACATGGCCAGCGGAAAAGGGCGGACACCAACAGTGACAGACATGGGAGACAAATGAATAGAAACGCTACATGGATAGACCTGGGAGGGAAAAGGGGGGACTAGGAATGCTACATGGCCAGCGGAAAAGGGCGGACACCAGCAGTGACATACTTGGGAGATACGTGAACAGAAATGCTACATGGCCAAGGGAAAACGGCGGACACCAGCAGGGACAGACCTGGGAGACAAATGAATAGAATGCTACAGTGACAGACCTGGGAGACAAATGAATAGAAATGCTGCATGGCCAGCGGAAAAGGGCGGACACCAACAGTGACAGACCTGGGAGACACATGATTACACCACCGTAGACCCCAAACAGTTTGTGTTTTCAAAATCGGAACACTCTGCAACTAGAGCTTGCGACGTCCAGAGCTGGGAGACAAGGATTGCAAGGCAGAGGCGGCCACAGCAGTCCAGAGCTGGGAGACACATGTAGACACAGAGGGGGACAAATGTAAAGGATTGCAAGCGACATGCAGCCCAGAGCTGGGTGACAAATAAAGGATTGCAAGGCAGAGGCGGATACAGCAGTCTAGAGCTGGGAGACAAATGCAAAGGCTTGCGAGGACGCATGTAAAGGATTGCAAGGCAGAGGCGGACACAGCAGTCAGAGCTGGGAGACAAATGTAAAATTAAGGATTGCAAGGCAGACACAGCAGCCCAGCGCCGGGAGGCGAATGTAAAGGATTGCAAGGCAGAGGCGGACACAGCAGCCCAGAGCTGGGAGACAAATGTAAAGGATTGCAAGGCATAGGCGGACACAGCAGTCCAGAGCTGGGAGACAAATGTAGACAGAGGGAGACAAATGTAAAGGATGGCAGAGCAGCTAGGAGACAAACGTGAAGAGTTGCAAGCGAGAGGGGGAGAGAGGAGGCACATGTAAAGGAAAGAGGGAAGACAAGGCGGACACAATGACCAACCAGAAGGGGGACAACAAGGGAGACAAGAAGGGAGACAAAAGGAAACACAAGGGAGACAAGACGAAAGAGTGCCCAACAAGAAGGGAGACAAGACCGGAGACAAAGGGAGACAGAAGGGAGACAAGGCGGACACAATGACCAACAAGAAGGGACACAAAAGGAAACAGAAGGGAGACAAGACGGACACAGTGACCAACAACAAGGGGGACAAGACCAGAGACAAAAAGAAACAGAAAGAAAACAACACGGACAACAAGGAGGGAGACAAAAGGAAACAGAAGGGAGACAAGACCGGAGACAAAGGGAGACAGAGGGGACGATGCGGACACAATGACCAACAAGAGGGAGACAAAAAGGAGACAAAAGATAACAGAAGGGAGACAAGACGGACACAATGATCAACAAGAAGGGAGACAAGAAGGGAGACAAAAGGAAACAGAAGGGAGACAAGACGGACACAGTGACCAACAAGAAGGGGGACACAGTGACCAACAAGAACGCAGACCAAGGGAGACAAGCCAGACGGAAGGCGGACACGCTGTCCGGCAGCAAGGCGGACACTTTTGGAAAGCATTTAAAACCCCTAACAGTAACCTGTTTGGGGAAGTGCAGAAATCACCTGGGAGACAAATATGAATAGAAATGCTGGAGAGGGGACAAGGGCGGATGCCAGCAGTGCAGGCACCGAACCTGGAAAACCAAAGTAAACAAACCACATGGGAAACAAATGAATAGAAATGCTGCATGGCCAGCGGAAAAGGGCGGACACCAGCAGTGCAGGCAGCGAACCTGAGAGACAAAAGTAAAGAAATCACTTTAAAGACAAGCGAATAAAAAAACATCTTAAGAAAGAATTGAGAAACCCTACGTAACGGCAAACTATGTGGGGAATGAAAAGAAATGTTGCATCGCCAGCGGAAAAGGGCGGACACCAGCAGTGACACACCTCACAGACAAATGAATAGAAACGCTGCATGGCCAGCGGAAAAGGGCGGACA